GCGGAACGGCGTGACGCAATCAGTTCTTCAGGCAAGATATTCCCTCACCACCTAGACCATCGAGATCCTGAAGATGATCCTAACTCAACGAGAACGCTTTTTATTGGGAATCTTGCTCCAGATATAACCGAAGCTGAAATCACTGAGATCTTTGAAAAGTACGGCTTTATTGAAGATATTGATATCAAGCGTCCAGCCCCAGGTTCGGGTTGCAATGCCTATGCCTTCCTGCGTTTTGTCAACCTTGATATGGCGCATAGGGCTAAGGTAGACATGTCAGGGCATATGATTGGTCAGTTTACTTGCAAAATTGGCTATGGCAAGGTAACACCTACTCGTTGTCTTTGGGTCGGAGGTCTTGGACCCTGGATTACGTATCCAACCTTTGCCAGTCTCTTAAACCGTTTTGGTCCTCCTGAACGAATTATATGGCCATCAGGGAAAAATTATGCCCATGTACTCTTTCGTAATGTTGAACTTTCCACCGTTGCAGCTGCTACTCTACGAGGCTATCCTCTGGGAGGTCCGGATCGCCGTATTAGAGTTGATTTTACCGACGAAATTTATATGACAAATGATCCATTAGTGGCTCGTAGAAGACCACTTCCCTCAACTATTGAAAATGATGACATACTTCGTAAGACACAGAGGTCACATTTCAGAGGCGGTGATTGTAGCGATGAAATTTACCGAGCTAATTTTCCGAACCACTCCCGTCACCAGGACCGAGATAGGCACAAAAGAAAGCCGACCCCTGATCGTCTGCTCCGTGCTTCTCGCTCACGCTCCCTATCTCATTCCAGCAAATCCTCTATTAATACGTCGAGCTCAAAGATCCACGATCTTGGATCTCGCCGTAACGTATCTCCGCGTTGCGACCACAGCTCTCGATCTAATTCTCCCGACTACAGATCCCCTTATGATAAACAAAATTCTCTGGCCAGGCGCCCACTTGACGCAAAATTAGAGGCGAAGACATGCTTTAGGCATAACCCTTCTCTTGGTTCTTCAGATTTTGATCCATTACTAAGCCTTGAGACAGCCTTGAATGTTGAGCAACTGGCTACTAGCTTGCCTACAGCTTGGGATGGTATGTTTTTTCTAAAAAATAGTAGTTTTGCATGTCGTATGCACATTCTGCGAGGAGATGAAAACTTAGTGGATCAATTTCTTCCCAGAAGACACCTGTCTACATTTCCGCCCTGCACTGTTATGCTTTCCCGAGTCTCTCAAAAGGAAGATCCTGCAATGCATGTGGAGACCCACGTCACGGAGCACAAGCTTATCGCAACGTCTAACTCTAATTCTTGTGATTGCCTGAAAGGTGCTGCAGCTGGCAGTCATTCAGATTATACTCCTACAGAGGATAACGATCGCTTGACACGTGGTGGCAGACCTCGCACCCCGCCTGAAGAAGACGAGACCGTTGCTGCTGATGTGAGAGTGAAAAGTAAGGACATGCTTTCTACGGATATTGAGAGAGAGGAAGGGGAAGAAGACGATGAAGACGAGGACGATGATGAGGAGCATACGAACCATTTGCGCCCCGCTGTAAGCAAAAAGCCCGAAGATTCTCCCTCGACACATTTAGGTGGAGTACCGCGATCAAAACCTCCAGTTACTTCAGATGATTCAGACTTTATCGAAGAGCCTATATGTTTGCGTATCACTCAACG